AAAAGGTACTCTTGTCTCCTTAATTGTTCTCAGTGTTCTTTGTCACCAATCATGATATTCTTTGTGGAAGGTATTAATATACCATCTTCCTGTGTTCAATATTCCCATTAACAATAAAAAGTCTAATGAAAATATCTGCATGAAAAGCCCTGAGCACTAATTTCAGAGACAAATAGAAGATGAACCAATAAGCTTTTCTTCTGAAATGAATGATGCAAATTAATTGATATCTTAATTAGGGTTTAGCATGGAGATTATTAGTTAGATTGAATCAGAACTCAAAAACATCTTAAAGGAAAAGCTGAGGACATGGCACTGACGGGAGAGAGACGTTATGTGTCAATGCTCTGCTGGAAATCTTTTGTTCAATGAGAGATTTTTCAAAGGGGGCGGAGAAGGACAGCATGCTGTTTGCAGCAGTCCCTGCCTGCCCGAGTCTGGCCAGGTCTGAGGACTAAAGTCTAGTCCTAGTCCCAAACTGACAGGAATACGTGGCCGTGGGAAGTTCCATCCTGAGAGAGCCGAGCCCCTATGCTTCTCTAGAGTAGAAGCCCGTCGAAGGCAAAGTCTTGCGCCATGTTTGCATCTCTAACCACAATGCCAGTGCGGTGCCTGACTTAGGATAATGGGGTAACATCATAGCCAACAACTATATACAGCTCGCTATGTGTTCTGGGTACTTTTCTAAGCCCTTTACATAAAAGAGGTCATCTGAGGGGCGCCTGGGTGGCTCAGTCAGTTAAGCGTCTGACTTCAGCTCAGGTCATGATCTCATGGTTTGTGAGTTCAGGCCCTGCATTGGGCTCTGTGCTGACAGCTCAGAGTCTGGAGCCTGCTTCGGATTCTGTGTCTTCCCCTCTCTCTGCCCCTCCCCAACTTGTGATCTGTCTCTCAAAAATAAATAAATGTAAAAAAAATTTTTAAATAACTCATCTGAACTTCCTAACAACAGGGTGATAAGGCAGGAACTATTGGTATCCCTACTTTTCAAGTGAGCATATTGAGCCGCAGGTTGAATGCCTTGCCCCCAGGATCAAATAGCTATATTGGTGGATTCAGATTGGAGCCCAGCAGTCTGGCCCCAGAGTCCTTCCCTTGATGCCTGCAAACAGTGGTCAATCCATATTTGTTGAATTAAGTGAACAAACGGTAACATGAACACCTGGTTCCTCCTGGTCGACTTCTTTTTGTACAAGTTGCCCACGGGTCTAGAGCTTTATCCCACTCTATAGTAGAGGCTTGCCAGCCTCTCTTGGGGGAGGGGAGCTTCAGATGTTTCCTGTATTCCTGAGAACTTACTGCTGTTTCTCCTGGACAGATGGCCCCCAAATTGTCCTTACTGAGGGGCTCCTGTGGCCATGGCCCACCCACCACACAGTGAGGTCTGGGCCCCTAATATCAAGGCCAGCCTAGGTTCCATTTCTGTGGTAACTGCGAATCACAGGACCATTGTCACTTTATGTCTGTAGTGACTTTATGGTGTGCCTTACTGCTGAGGCCACTTCCTGCTGAGGTTAATGATAATATATAGGGCTTATTTTTTAGTTTTTTATTTGAGAGAGAGAGAGAGAGAACATGAGCGGGGGGGAGGGGAGCGGGGGGGAGGGGAGTGGGGCAGAGGGAAAGAGAGAGAATCTTTATATATATAAAGATTTATGTCTGTCTTTCTATCTATCTATCTATCTATCTATCTATCTATCTATCTATCTATCTATCATCTATCTAATTTTTAGAGGAAGAGAGAGCTTGAGTGAGAGAGGGCCAGAGAGAGAATCCCAAGCAGGCTCCAAACCCAGTGCAGACCCCAACGTGGGGCTCGATCCCACAAACGTGAGATCATGACCTGAACTGAAATTAAGAGTCGGGTGCTCAACCGACCGAGCCACCCAGGCACCTCATAGGGTTTACATTTAACCCAACCCATTAAGGGCCAGGATTCCTGAAGGGTTTGGAATGCTTACCAGGTGTTTTTGATTTCCCAAGATAGCAGTCCTCAGGAAGGTTCCCTAGAAGCATTTGTCCATAAGAGGGAACCGTAAGAGAGCCCTAGAATGTAGGGCTATGTTTCCCATCTTAACAGAGAGGGCAAGGTGGTGTGCCTTGGAGTTGATGGGAGAGATGCAGTGTGAACCAGACCACGTGGTAGGGCAGGAAGGGGGTGCAGTTTGGAGTTGGGGGCCTTGGACTGAAGACCCACCTCTAGGACCCACTAGGTGAGAGACTGCATCACCCAACCTCTCCAGGCTTTGCCTTCCCACCTATAAAATGGGGAGAATGCCTAGTTAACAAAAACGGTTGTGGGGATCAAAAGGAACTGTCAAAAGTGATTTGTTACTTGAAAACTGCTTCCAGATGGGTGATAAAATGACCAAGGCATTCCGACCCTGAACTCTGTGGTCTTCTTTTGATTGGCTACACTTCTGGAGACCTGTTAAACTTGTATACCTTGTTCTTTCCAGACTGACAGAGGTGGTGCCTGGGACTCTGCATTTCAACACACTCACCAATGGATCTGAACATACTCTAATGTCTGAGAACTACTCAGCCTCGGCTAACGCCAACACAAAGGAAGTGCTTCTGGGCTCGATTAGAGCCTTCCCTTATTTTTTGGCTGAGGGCCACAGCCTGAGACCTAAGTGAGCCTGGTTTTTATACTTGGCCATGCAGCTGGAGGAACCTGGGGGCTGGTGGGCAGGTGGAGTGGACACAGCTGACAAGAGCTGCTGCTTCCTGCTGGACGCATGGATCAGGGAAAGTGGGTGACAATGTGCCTGAAACCCAAGCCTCCTCCGGTCTGAGAGAGGAGGCTGGGGGCCACACCCGGGCAGGTGGCCCTGATAAGCTCTGCGGCTTAGCAGTCTTGCCGGACAGCTGCCACCTGCCACTTGCTCTGCTTCTCAGCTGTGCTGCTGAGAACCTATGTCTGCCCCACAAGGCTTCTGTGAGAGAACTGTCCAGAGGGCATCGTGGGGTGAGGGCATGGGCGGGGGGGGGGGGGGCTTCAGGCTTGGAAGAGAGGCAGTCCTATGGACCCAAGGTGCCCATCCACAGCTTCTGAAATCTGCCTCGGAACTGCCCAGAAGGACCCTCTTATGGACAGCCTGGTGCGTGAAAAGCTTCACTACACGCGTCATGTCCAGAGAAGTACTCCTTTCTTGAGAGTTTCTCCCCCTTATAACTGCCTGGGAATCCCAAGTATGGAAAATGGCCATGCTCCAGATTGGGGTGGGATCCAGTGTTTTTCCCTTTTGTGCCCTCAGCTCCTCTCCCTGCCTTGAGGGCATGAAAGTCCCCCAGCTCTGCCCCTTTGCATGTTTGCGGTGTTTCCAAGGCTCTTGACCAGGCTGAGGGGTGCTTGCCCAGGGGAAGTGTGTTGAAGCAATGCCCCTGCTTTCCCTCAGGAGCCTGGCTCAGGCACTGTCCAAGAAACCGCTGCTGGAAGCCTCCCTCGAGGGGGCCCCTTCAAGGCTGGGTGTTGCCAGGACCGCCTCTGAGGATGGGCTGTTGACCTAAGCACCCAGTGAGAGGCCTGTGGTCACTGGGTTGACAGGATAGCTTCCTCTCCCATTCTAGGGGCTGTGAGAGGACCTGGCTTGCTCAGGAGAATCAATGGCTAGTTCACAGATACCCCTTTCTCTGCCCCACAGCGGGGGAAGGAAAAACACGAACTCCTTACATTTGTAGTACTCTCTGTTTTCCAAAGTGCTCTCAGGATGCTCTCATTGGATTGTTGCCACAACCACATAGAGGAGGGAACATGGTTCCTACCTTACAGATAAAGATGAAGTGCCCAGAGGGACTCTGAGTGACTTCACAGAGATGGTGGATTTGGGAACTGGTCAAACCTAGATCCAGACTTAAGTCTTTTAGTTCTGGGTTCCCACTATCTTTTTTTTTTAATTTTATTTTTATTTATTTTTAGAGAGAGAAACAGAGAGAGCAAGTGAGGGAGGGGCAGAGAGAGACAGAGAGAGAGAGAGAGAGAGAGAGACTCACAAGCAGACTCTGTGCTGCCGGCACAGAGATCGACGTGGGGCTTGAACTCACAAATTGCGAGATCTTGGCCTGAGCCAAAACCAAGAATCGGATGCTTAATGGACTGAGCCCCCCATGCGCCCCTGGGTTCCCACTATCCTACGACTTGATGACTATGCAAAGGCCATCTGTGAACTCTCTAGGCACAGATGCACGAATGGCTAGAGTTAGCGTGGATTTTCCCACAGTGTACAGCCAGGCACTCACGAACAAAAGATTCACTAGGCAAATGAGGTTGGAAAATAAATGCAGATTATATAGTGCACATTAGAATATTAAAAGCACCAAAAAACCCAGCCAGTGAGGAATGGGATTAATACAGTGTAGCCTGGAGTCTCCAAAACTTGTTTGGGAATACAGCTTTTGTCCCTCCCCCCACCCCCATAATGCCCGTTACCACCTGTCCAGATCTGTGTTCCTCAGACCTGCTCCAGAGAGGATGAGCCAGACTCCTTCCCTATTATGTGATGGCCTTGGGACACAGACGAGGGGAGGCCACTTGCTTCTGTACAAAGAAGAGGAAACTGGCCCTCAGCTCATGAGGAGGAGGAGCTCCTGCAAGGCTCTCCCTGGCCGGCTCGGCCACCCAGACCACACAGAATCGCCCCGTGCCTCCCAGTCCAGGCCCCCTGTGGTGGTGCGCTGGAATCAACCACTAAATTTTCAGAAAATTTGAGTTAACCATTAAATCATCAATAACTTGAAACGACATGGTGGAAGCATTTACACTCTAGAAATCAGCAAACACTACAAGTTGGGGCTGTCCCCACCCGGTTTACCTGTGCACCACTGATCCTGGACATTTTTCAACAGTGTCTGAAAACCTGGAAGGGGCTGTGACAGCTGAGCGTAGGGGGGCAACCTGAGTCCGCAGCCCTCCTGAATGAGAGCTGAGAACTGCACAGAATGGTAATCTTCCAGCTATGAGCCCAAATGAATCCAAAAGAGCCTTCTGGCCGGCTTACCTTGATGTTTGTTACCAGCCAATGTCTCCAGAATTGAGCTTTGGGTGAAGACCTGCTAGGGGCATCCGGGTCCACCATCACCAGGATGTAGGTTGCGCCCTGTAACACATGTGTCAAGAAGAAATGCAGCACCGTGACTAGAATTCCGATAGGAAAGCTGTAAGGTGCAGGCTCTCCTTTTATCTCTATTACAGCCAAGAGTGGCTGACCAACCGCTACAGCTTCCTACCCAGTCCATCCTCATTCTCATGACATTCCTCTTGTATCACATGTTTACTCTCAGAGAAATGAAGTCTATTAAGTAGAGAGTTGAAAGCTTAGCCTTCCCTTTATGAAGAAGAATAAATCAAACAAGCATATTTACAAAGCATCCAGAAGTCCCTAGCATCATACTAGGTCCTGTGATCGAAACAAAGAAATTAAAATTTTTTTTAATGTTTATTTATTTTTGAGAGAGAGAGAGAGACAGAGTACGAGCAGGAAAGGGACAGAGAGACAGGGAGACACGAAATCTGAAGCAGCTCCAGGCTCTGAGCTGTGAGCACAGAGCCTACATGGGGCTTGAACTTACGGACCGCGAGATCATGACCTGAGCCAGAGTCAGACACTTAACTGATTGAGCCACCCAGGCGCCCCTGGAAACAAAGAAATTTAAAACAGGACTTCTGTTCTTGAGAAGTTCACAGTATAGTTGGAGCAACTTATCCATTAATTCAGCAAACACAGGAGAACTTAGTCTGTGTCAGGAACTGTACCCATTGCAAGGAATACTAGGAATCATTCATCCCTTCAACAAGCAATTTCTGAACACCTACTATGTGCTGGAAAACATTCTAGAGGCTAGGCATCCAACAGAGAATAAAATAGCGTAAGCCATGCTTTCAGGAAGCTTTTATTCTAGGTAAGTGACACAGATTTTTTTTTTTAAACTCAAAAACCAAACCAAACTCACAAGGAAATGTCCGATTGTGATTAGTACTATGATTAAAATAAACTAGGGTGGGATGAGAGGGAGCATGTGTTCCAAGAAGAGTAAATAGCTGCTACAAAGGCCTTCAGATAGGAATAAGCAAGAGTTTGAGGAATAGAAAGAATACCATGTGGGTGGGCACCTGGATGGCTCAGTTGGTTGAGCATCTGACTTCGGCTCGGGTCGTGATCTCACGGTCCGTGAGTTCAAGCCCCACATTGGGTTCTGTGCTGACAATGCAGAACCTGGAGCCTGCTTCTGATTCTGTGTCTCCCTCTCTCTCTGTGCCTCCCCCACTCATGCTCTGTCTCTGTCTCACTCAAAAATAAACATTAAAAAAAATAAGAAAAATCATGCAGTTAGGAGCAAGCCAGGGGGAGAATGGACAAGGCAGGTTTGGAGAGGTGGCTGGGAGCCAGGCCACAGAAGGCTTGGCAGGCCTTGGTAGGGTGGGGAGCAGGGTTTTATTCTAAGTGTAATGCAGAACCAATGAAGGGTTTTTAGCCAGGAGAGTGATACACTCTGATTTACGTTTTTCTTTCTTTATAGAATTTTTTTAAATGTTTATTTATTTTTGAGAGAGTGAGAGACAGACAGAGCATGAGCCAGGTAAGGGAGGTAAGGGAGACACAGAATCCAAAGCAGGCTCCAGGCTCGGAGTTGTCAGTACAGAGCCAGATGCTGGGCTCAAACTCACAAGCCCTCCAAGATCATGACCTGAGCTGAAGTCAGACACTTGATTGAGCCTCTCAGGTGCCCTTGATTTATGTTTTTCAAAGACTGTTTGGGTGGCTGGGTGAAGAATGAATGGCAAGCAGGAGGTAAGAGAGGAAGCCAGGAGGCCAGTTAGGAGGCTGTTGTCTTAATAAAGTGAAGGATGGCGGTATATTGGCCTAGAATGGTAGCAACAGAGAGAGAAACAAGTAGTTGGATTAGGGAAGTGTTTTTAGGTAGAATCGATGAAATCTGAGGATGGATGGGGCAGGGGAGCCGTAGAGGGTGGGGGAAGAGACTTTGAGGGTGTCTCCTGAGTTTTTGGCTTGAGCAACTGGGTGAATGGTGCCATTTAGTGACATAGAAGACTTGGCAAGGAGATTGGAAATGCTTCTAAAAAGATAATCAAGTGTATAAGTCAGAGTCTGGATTCTGGAGGAGAGATCAGGAGTAGGTCTATAAGTTTTGGAGTCACTGACATATAGGTGGTCCTTAAACTCATAGAATAATGAGATTCTTCATGGATAGGTTAGACGTGGAGCAGAAAAGAAGTCTCCAGACTGGATTCTAGAACAGCTAATGTTTAGAAAAGAAAAAAATCTAGCCAAGGAGACTGTGAAGCCAGGGAGGTGGGGGCACACCTGAAGAGCAGGGATCATGAAAGCTGAGCCAGAAAGTGTTTCCCAAAGGAGGAGGCGGGCACCTGTGTCCAAAGCTGCTGAACAGAGGGCAAGATGAGGACACGAATGTGACAATGTGATTGGACAACCTGGGAACACTACTCACTTGTCAAGACAGTTTCGGTGGAGTAGGAAAGGACTGAGGTTTGCCTGGAATAGGTGGAGATGAGACAGGAGATGAGGAATTGGCAATAGTAAAGACAATAAAAGAAATATTAGTGTGAAGGTCGGCTGAGACACGGAGTGACTATTCGTAGATGGGAAGGAAGAGTCAAGAGATTTTTTAAAAATTGTTTTTCGTTATTTTTTTTTAGCAGACAGATGACCATCAGGCATGTCTGCAGGCCAGTGGAAATGATCTAGAAGAAAGGGAGATCTAGATGACAGAGAGGAAAAGGGGGATCACTGCAAGAGCCAAGACTCTGGAAAGGTGGGTGGGAACAGGATCTAGAGCAAGAGTGGAGGGACCGGCCTCTGGTAGACTCAGGGGATACAGGTTCAGATGCCAGGGAATTGGAAAATGTGACGGTGAGGAATGGGAAAATTGTCTTCTGATTGCTTCTATTTTCTCAGCAAATTAGAGGCAAGGGGTACAGGGATTATAGGAGGTTTGGGGACGAAGAAGATGGTGTGAAATAGCCATTTTGGAAAGTGAGAAACTGACTATACCATAGGTTTATAGTAAGGTTACTAGGCCAATATTACATTCTATGTCTGTGTGCTTTTAACTGTTCAAGTGAAGTTGAGAAATAAGTGGTGGGTGGATTTCACTTGGATTTGGACTCGGACTGGTCAGTACTCTGGATGAGAAGGGAGTGGGAGAGTCAAATGTGAGTAAGGTAAATAAAGAAGAGCTGGAGCTCCTCTTGATCTGAAGGGAGAGACAGGCATAGACACAGCTGTAAAACAGCATGCTAGTGCTTGAGTAGAGGAACATTTACCAATTACTAAGGGAGCACAGAGGAGGGAGCCTAAACCTCTCTATCTCAGAAGTCCAGGTGGCCTTCACAGAGTTGTCTTTTTAAAAAACGTTTTTATTTATTTATTACTTAGAGGGGGAGAGAGGCAGAGAGAGAGGGCGAGAGAGAGAATCCCCAGCAGGCTCTGCATGACAGGCAGGGAGCCTGATGTGGGGCTTGAACTCACAAACCAGGAGATCGTGACCTGAGCCCAAATCAAGAGTCGGACGCTTAACCGATTGAGCCACCCAGGTGCCCCAAGGTGTCTTTTGAACTTGATCTTGAAGAATGAACAGGTAAAGTGTCAGGAAAACAACTCTGTAGACAAAGGGAAGTGTCTGTGCAAAGGCATGAGGATGTTTGGGGAATGGCAAGAACTTGGTGTGCTGGAACATAGGACATCTGGAAAGGAAGGGTAGGTGACAAAGCGGAAAAGTTACTGGGACAAAATAAAGAGCCTTACATGTCCTAGGTCGTTTAGATTTTGTTTTGCAACGGGACCCACTGAAACTGTTTGAATAGATGACATGATTAAATGTGTGCTTTGGGAAGGCACATGGTAACACTAAGTAAAAAACTAATAGAGACAGAGAAAAAAAGACAATTGGGGTACGCTGAGGACAGACTGTAAGAGCTTAAAAATGCAAGTGATAGTAATATAGAAAGTGGCATTTGCATTGTCCCATCAACAGTGTGAAGTGACTTTAGGGCAGATAGAGGAGAGGGAGGTGTCCAGGATGACCCTGACACTCTACCGTGGGCAACTAGCTGATGATGGTGCCATGAATATTAGGAGTAACAAATTTGGGAGACAGTGAGCTTGGTGTTAAAACCTGACATGGAGCTCTGAGGCTGGAGCTCTCTCAAGACTAAGCATGTGAGTAGTGCGCATGAGGATGGACAAGATTATCAGGGAGAACGGGTACAGTGAGAATAGAAGAATGGGTAGGACGGAACCGGGGACCCTGAGGGGTGGGGCTGTTGAAGGAGTGGGGTGGGATCAATATAACAGAGCCATCCAGGGAGAGGAACACAAGCAGTGTGTGCTCTGACTATCGGGGGATCACTGCAATTTGCCAGAGAGTAGGTCAGAGATAAAAACACTGTTGAATGCTAAAATCCAAAAGAGTCACTGAAGCACATATTAGATGCTATAGAAAATTAAATTAGAGAATTTGAAGATAAAGTCCAAGGAAATTCTAAGAACTCAGAAGAAAAGGATAATCAGATGAAAATATTAGGGGGAAAGTAGGATCATATCCCAAAAAGCCCGTGTGTGTGTGTGTGTGTGTGTGTGTGTGTGTGCGTGATTCCAATGGAATTCCAGAAGGAAAAGCTGTATAACTGATACTCCCAAGAATAGGTTCTAGCCAAAGCAATAATTATATAAAACAAAACAAAGTGTAAATACTGTAAAAGAAATAAAAACATTTATTCTCTTTCTGTCTTTTAATTTTTTTTTTTTTTTTTGCAAGTGCCTGCTTACATGAGAAATCCAAAAGAATTAGCTGGAAACAATTAGGCTAATATTCAGGAGTGACTCGTTATGAAATGCACACACAATCAGTACTTATTAATAACGATCAGAAAATATACTTTTAAAATGCCATTTACAATTGTAATAGACTATAAAATATCTAGGAATAAACTTGATGAAAAATCCAAGACTTAGACAAAGAAACCAAAACACTACTGATATGCATAAAAAAAACTTGAATAGATATGGAGACATGCTATGCTTGTAAATTAAAATAATCATTTGTAGGGGGTGCATGG